ACTCAACACTTACCCTGTGCCAGGCATTGTTCTAAAGTGCTTTTCATCCATGAGCTCATATCAGGGGTTGGCAAACTTTTCCTGTAAGGGGACAGAGGTAAATATTTTAGGCTTGTGAACCATAAAGTGTCACAACCACTCACCTCCCATTGTAGTCTGAAAGCAGCCACAGAAGATAGTAAATGAATGGGTGTGATTGTGTTCCAATAAAACTTTATGGACACTGAAATTTTAATTTCATACAACTTTCACGTGTCACAAAATAGTCTTGTTTTGATTTTTTCCCCCAACCATTTAAAATGTATAAACCATTCTTGGCTTGTGGGTTGTAGAAAAAGAGGGAATGGGCTAGATTTGGCCCATGGGCTATATAGTTTGCTGACTGACCCCTGTCTCGTATGATCTTCATAATGACCCTCCAAGATAGATGCCATTATTATTTTCCTTCCACACATGGGGAAACTGAGTCTCAGAGAGATTAAGGTGACTTGCCCAAGGACACACAGCAGGTGAGTGGTTAAACTGGGATTATAACCCAGACAGTCTAATGTTGTAATTTTCTTTTAACAAGTTACCCTAAATACTATCAATATGGTTTAGCCTAAATGTGGTTGCCTGTTAATATTTTTAACTTTTGTTCCTGATTACAAATGTTCCACATTTGTGCTGAAGAATTCAAAACCATACAGAATTATGAAAATAACCCCACCCTCCACAGATAAATACTTAAGGATTCAAATACACAGCTCATACAACACTGACTAGAATTAGAAATGTTCTGGACACTGAGTGACTTTGGAGAGGTTGCCTAACCTCTCTGGGCCCTTGGAGGGGGCCGGCTGAGATGACGCAGCTCTGTGGTCCCTCCCAGGCCTGACCATGGAGATCTGTTTGTAAGGATTGTGCAATGGCAGCTGGTTCTGTCCTAACTGCCTGGGTGTGGAGGGTGAAGTCACCCTTCACCAGCCCCAGGGACGGGCCAAGTGGCTGCTAAGTCCCCCTGCCTGTGGCTCCCCCAAACCCCAAGCAGAGTAGCTTCAGAGAGGCAGCAGGGACACCAGAGCCTGGATCGGGGTCCTAGGAAGTTTAGGCTCCCCCCAGAACTGATGTCAGGGACCGCTCTGCCCAGCGAGCAGAGATCCGGGCGAGCTGGGGGTCAGAGTCTCCTGCCAGGGCTGCCTGGAGTGGGATCGCACAGGCAGCGGCATCAGCAGGCTGAGGTTCCTACAGTGAAACATCTGGGCCCGCTCCATCTCCCAGTCAGACAGGCCCAGGGGCTGCACCTCCATCTGATGATCACCCGATGTGTGACCCTGAGCTCATCCGCTCTTTGAGCCTGTTTCCTTGCCGGTGCAATGGGGGTAACAACCACCTCACAGGATTAGTTCATAATCATCTCATGATTAGTTAGCTCATGAGATGATACCTGCAATGCAGCTGGCATAGGGGAGAGACCTAATAAACGGCCACGTCTGTTCCCTTTGCTGACAGTTTCCAACAGTGTGCTTTGCAAAAATTCTTCCACCATGCCACGAATTGTGGACCTACTCCATGCCGGGGCTGCACCCAAAGTAGGAAGGTGGGGAGGTCAACGAGGGGAAAAAATCACAGCACTGCCCTCAAGCAAGCCAGGGAGGGGAAGATAGGATCTAAGGGACTTTGACACAATCGGAATGTTGGGACAAAGTTCAGGGCCCCGGGCGGAGAAGCTGGAGAAGCTGGAGAAGCCGGAGAAGCCGGAGAAGCCAGAGAAGGCTTCATGGCGATGGCACTTTGGCTGGGTCTTGAAGGATGGGGAAAGATTATGGCTGAGCCCACAGGGGACAGCATCCTGGCAGGGAGAGGTGAGGCAGTGTGAGCAAAGGGGTGGGGGTGGGAGAGGACGAGAAACATCTGGGGAGCACGGGCCCACTGAGTTTGCCTACAGAACAGCTGGAGCGTCAAGGAGCGCAGCTGGGAGCTGCACGGGGTGGAGAGGCGAGGCCCAGTGGTGGCGGGCTTTAGATCTGGTGGGAGAAGGGGAGTCATGGAGGGCATTGAGCAGAGGGAGGAGCCACCAGACAGCACAGGGGGGACAGCAAAAAGGCTGTGGATTCTGAAAGAGAACATGAATGGCGGGAGCCAGCTCCCTTTCCCGAGAGCACCAGGCCCTTTCTCAGACATGGTCTTACTTGTCCTACATGGGTCACATTCCCAGTTTACAAATGGGGAAACCGAGGCTCTGAAACATTAAATTTCTTGTCCAAGGTCACAAAGCAGTGAGTTGGGGCCATTTTCTGTCATCTGTGGGAGTGCCACCCTTTCTTCTCCTGTGACCCCAGGACAGATCCAAAGTTGACTTTGAGGGCAGGATTCGAACAATGATTGGCAGGTAATGCCAACCCTGGCTACACTGCGTCTCTCCACAACCCTTAGAGATGCATGTTATTATCTCCATCACGGGGGGAGCAAGTTAGAGGCTCAGCAAGGGGAAGTGACTTCCGCAAGGCCACACACAAAGGTGGGGAGTCCGGGCCAGGTCCTCTGAGTCAAACTGTCCCCACCACCCTGTGCTATCTCCAGGTGCATTTCTAGGCACATCTAAAATCAGGAAGAGCCTGGGTCCAAAAGGCCCCAATCTGTCCCGAGTCAGCGTCCATTGATTCATCCTCCTCCCTGGCCCTTTGCCCACCCCTTCGCTTCTTCTGTCACCACAGACCAGATTAAGCGAGACCTCTCTTTGGCTCCATCCCCAGCCAGAAGCGGCACCTCCACTGCCTAGACTGGGGGTCTCAGTGGCCACACCTTTATCAGACCCCTTGGCCAGAACCACTGGGTATTAGTTGGTCTCAAGGAGGAACCTTTCCCTGAGCTGGGCCTCTGTCCCTGCCACACCTTCTGGTGTCTTGTGGCGACCTTCTCCCCAGGTTCTGGTGCCAGACCTGGAAACACACAGTGGCATGGTGATATAAGAACTGTTCTGCTGGGAAGGGAAAAACCAAGAGATTTAGTGAATCATACGGAGGGGTGCAGTAAGGCCTGGGTTTCTGACACCCACCGTCTCTCACCTGGGCCTCAAACCATCCACAAAGTAGCCAGTGGTAAACCCACCGTACAGATGTGGGCCCAGAGACTCAGTTGGGGGAGAGATTCGCCTAGGATCACCCAGCAGCAAAATGACAGCCTGGGGTCCAAGCGATGATCTTTCCAGAAAGGGATCAAGAGGAAAACTTCACAGCACTCAGCAGACACCTGACCTCAGGGACACACTGTGCCACCATCAATCAGTATTTGTCTACAATGGTTCTCTCTCTTCTTTTTCATTAAAAAAAACTTAAAAAAAAAAAAAGCTTTCTTTTTTTAAAAAATGTGGGTAGGGGAAGGAATAATGAATGCTCTTGGTAAAAAAAAATTGGGGCAGATCAGATTGGTATGCTGTGAAAAGTCAGCAGCTGTAACATTTTATGATTCAATGCAAAAAATATGAATTCCTCAGCTGAATAAGCAGTATAAACAACAAAAAAAAACCCTTTTTTTTAAGATACAGGGTGGGTGTTGCCATTATCTGAGGACCTCTCTGCTGCCCTCAGCCAATGTTCATCTGAAGGTGGAAAACGCCCTTTAAAAAAAAAAAAGGCACTCAGCCCTGAACTTTTCTAGAACTTAGGCCCAAAGTTTGGGCATGTGTGAACACAGTAGCTAAGGAAGGCAAATGCAGAAGTCGCCTCTGGTGATACAATCACAGATCAACGACACAGGGTGGCAGTGAAATCCCCCCCCCTCCCCGGAGGAGAGGGAAGAAACCGCAGAATGTTCCTGACTCGGCAACCAGGCCCGGTGGCGCAATGTTTGTTTGTGTACCTAGCACGTCGGTGCCACCGCAGCGGGCTCCACTGCCCAGGGGGCCGTCACTAGGGCTCACGGCGCGGGTGGCCCAGTGGGGTCTTCCCAAACGTTCGTCCAAGTTCTGGAAATCCTCCTTAAGCTCCATAGTATTGGATTTCGAATTCAGCCAATATAGATGGCGAGAACCAGGGCGAGGGTGTCGGGCTTGGCTCTCGTTCCTTGTTGGAGACCCCAGCCCAGCCCCTAGTAGACCCCCAGTCAGGATATATTTGTGGAATAAAGAGATTGAGCAGCCCCATTTGTCTTAAGCAAATGTGACCAGAAACATGCGTGGTGGCCTCTGGGGGGCGCTGTCGACAGCCTTCCCAAATGCCAAACCCCTCACAGGGGCGCCTTGCGACCCCCGCACTGAGATTTCGGTCCCCTGACCTGCCTGCCTCCGTTCAGTCTTCGAGACCACTCGAGTAGGAAGACTATTCTTTTCACTAGGGGTGAGATTGGACGTATTTTACTTATTACATGTACTTTTTTTTAAGTAATAGGAAAGTCTGGGAAACATTTCCTTGAACCCCTTGATTCCAACTCACCCTGGTTGTTCTCGGTAGGAACGACCTTTCTATGGGCAACTGTGTTAACATTTTCCCCAACCCTCATTCCAGGATCTTCTTACCCCGCCCCCTACCTGGCAGTGTGATACTAGGCAAGTAAAGCGCTTCTCCTTGGGACTCTGTCTCCCCCAGACGGGGACAAGGAAATGAGAAGGGGCACACGTGTATGCAAAAACGCAGGAAGCCACCTTCCGCTCGGGGAGGGGGCACAGCAGGGGGGGGGCAGAGGCCGGTGGCACGCCGCGGCTCTCCCAACAGCTCGCATCCCCGCCATCCCTCGGCTGGCAGCGCGCCCTCCTGTACTCTGCGCTGGGCTGGGCTGGGCGAGCGGCACAAGCCGGGTCCCCGGGGACGCTTCAGGGGCAGGCTGCACGGCCGAGGGCCCGAGCTAGCGCGCGGCCATCGGCTCTCGCTCTGTAGCAGATGACGTCTTCGCCTCTGGCTCCGCCGGCGCCAAGCCGGGCAGGGCGGGTGACGTCACCGCCCGGTCACGTGACCGCCATTCAAACAAACAAACCTCCCTCCCCCCTGCGCGCGCGCGCCCCGCCCCTGTGCCGGACTCCATAAGAACGCACGCCCGGGGCCGGGCTCATTGCGAAGAACAAGCCAACGGCAGGCGCGACGCGGGCTGAAGCAGGGTAGTCAGGGGATCTGCAAGGAACCCCGCCACGCAGCTCCTGCTCAGTCCAAAGGCAGTTTTGGGTTCGGCGCAGAGAAAGCCGCCAGGGTCGGGCTTTTCCTCGAAAGCCTTCTCCCTGCCCTCGGCTTTGGAAGACAAAGAGTACAGGAGGACTTACACGCTGGGGGCGCTGGGGCCGGCCATGGTCATGGAGGTGGGCTCACTGGACGCCGGAGGCCTGCGGACGCTCCTGAGCGAGCGCGCGGCGCAGTGCCTGCTGCTGGACTGCCGCTCTTTCTTCGCGTTTAACGCCGGCCACATCGCCGGCTCGGTCAACGTGCGCTTCAGCACCATCGTGAGGCGCCGGGCGAAGGGCGCCATGGGCCTGGAACACATCGTGCCCAACGCCGAGCTGCGCGGCCGCCTGCTGGCCGGCGCCTACCACGCCGTGGTGCTGCTGGACGAGCGCAGCGCCGCCCTGGACGCCGCCAAGCGCGACGGCACCCTGGCCCTGGCGGCGGGCGCGCTGTGCCGCGAGGCGCGCGCGGCGCAGGTCTTCTTCCTCCAAGGTACGCGCGCCCTCGGGGACGCCCGCGGCGGGCTGCACGCCCCCTGCCGCCTCGGCGCGGGACTCGTGGCCCGCGGCTCCTGCCCCACCTGGAGAGCCGCGGGGTCGCCCGAGTCGTCTATTGGGGACTCGCCGCTCACTGGCTTTGTTTGGCTCCAGGAACAAAGACTCCCGGGGTCACCTCCCAGTCCTGGGGGGTGGGGGAGTTGTACGAAGGTGCCCTGTCCCAGCGGTACTAATGGAAAAACAATGTCTTTGTGTTCTCAGGAGGATATGAAGCGTTTTCAGCTTCCTGCCCAGAGCTGTGCAGCAAACAGTCGACCCCCATGGGGCTCAGCCTTCCCCTGAGTACTAGCGTCCCTGACAGCGCCGAATCGGGGTGCAGTTCCTGCAGCACCCCACTCTACGATCAGGTTAGTAGGGAGCCGTGCCAGAGGGAAGCAGGGACAGCTGGCGAAGGCCTGGAAAGAGCAGTGCTAGTGAGAATGGAGAGAGGGACCTGCAGCTTGAGAACAGAGGGGACTCGGGGATAGTATTTATTCCGTGGTTAAACGGTCTGGTGGAGCTGATTCTCTTAACTGTTGGCACCACAGAGATGACCGTTTGCCCTGCCCAGGTAAATGGGCTGAGTCCCCTATTTGTACTCCCAACAACAGTGCTGAGAAGTTCACCCAGTATGTGAAACTGACTTTTCCAGCAGGGAGTTTTTGTGGGTGTGGGCACTGGCGTTGACTTTGAGCAAAGCTTGACAAGTGTTGGATATTTCTGAATTTCAGGGTGGCCCAGTGGAGATCCTGCCCTTCCTGTACCTGGGCAGTGCCTATCATGCTTCCCGCAAGGACATGCTGGATGCCTTGGGCATCACCGCCTTAATCAACGTCTCAGCCAATTGTCCCAACCATTTTGAGGGTCACTACCAGTACAAGAGCATCCCCGTGGAGGACAACCACAAGGCGGACATCAGCTCCTGGTTCAACGAGGCAATCGACTTTATAGGTAAATGGAACAGATGCCTGGGACTTCGGCCTCACTCCCCCAGTCTTAGCCACTGAGCCCCAACTCTACAGCAAGGACTTGAATGGCGTTCTTCTAAGCCTTCCTCCAGACATTAAATATCTGTCCGGTGTGGCTTAACATCTCTGCAAATTAGGGATTTGATGCCCCTATACAAATTCGTAAACTAAGGCTCAGAAAGTTGATTTGTCCAACATCCATCTGCTTTGCTTACTGGATGCCCCGTCTGAGTTTAAATCCCTCAGTTCTTTGCACAGTGCCCACATTGCCTAGACGAACAGTGTCCGTGTCATGGCATGAGTTGACATTGACTGGCTGTATAGGACACATGACATTTCTTAGACACCCTATTCCTGGGGTTGGGGCCGTTCTCCTGAGCTCTCGAGTAACCAGCCACCCTTTGTTTTCCAGACTCCATCAAGAATGCCGGAGGAAGGGTTTTTGTCCACTGCCAGGCTGGCATTTCCCGCTCAGCCACCATCTGCCTCGCTTACCTCATGCGGACTAACCGAGTCAAGCTGGACGAAGCCTTTGAATTTGTGAAGCAAAGAAGAAGCATCATCTCCCCCAACTTTAGCTTCATGGGCCAGCTGCTGCAGTTTGAGTCCCAGGTCCTGGCCCCGCACTGCTCGGCAGAGGCTGGTAGCCCTGCCATGTCGGTGCTGGACCGGGGCACCTCCACCACCACAGTCTTCAACTTCCCCGTCTCCATCCCCGTCCACTCCACGAACAGTGCATTGAGTTACCTGCAGAGCCCCATCACGACCTCTCCCAGCTGCTGAAAGGCCATGGGAAGCCATCTTCACAATCCACTGGGACTCCAGTCCAGGCTCCTTCTTGAAGGGGAGAAATGCAATAACTCCAGGGAGGGAGCTCGAGAGGGCTGGTCATTATTTATTTAATTTCACCCAAGTTCCACTGGGTTCCTAAGCAGTTACAGTGATGACTTATCACCAAGACGATGGATGAACTCAGCACATTTGGGACCAATATATATATATATATATATATATATACTGGGTACATCAAGTTCCCCTGACAAAAAGGGGCAGAGAGAAAGGACTCTGTGTGAGCCCATTTCTTTTTGCTTGCCCCTGTTTTTTGTTTTGTTTTTTGTAGAAACTTCATGCTTGACATACTTACCAGTATTATCATTCCTGACGACACATATATGTATGAGAATATACCTTATTTATTTTTGTGTAGGTTGTCTGCCTTCACAAATGTCAATGTCAACTAGAAGAACCAAATACCTCAATTTTTGTGTTTGAGTACTGTACTACCCTGTAAATATATCCTAAGTAGGTTTGTTTTCAGCACTGATGGAAAGCACCAGTGTTGTTTTTTTTTAGTTGCCAACAGTTATATGTTTGCTGATTATTTATGACCTGAAATAATATATTTCTTCTTCTAAGAAGACATTTTGTTATATAAGGATAACTTTTTTTATACAACAGAATAAATTATGGCATTTCTATTGAACTCTCAGTGCTTTGTTTCTTGGGCAGCCCCTGATCCCTGTCCCACTAAAGAAACGGGAGTCTGGGCGAGGACCTCCAGGATGTGTGCTGGAATCTGACGCCATGCTCTTTGGTGGCCCCTCAGTCCCGCAAGATGACCGGGTTGCAAGGGGGGTAGACAGGTGCAACTGAACATGTAGTATTGTATCCAAGTGTCCCCCCCCATGTATCCCTTAACATGTCACCCAAAAGGCCTGTGTCCCCAGAGTCAAAGCTAAAAAGAAATGGGATATTTGCTTGGCTTTGGCTTTTACATGTACTACCTTCCCCAACGTAATATAAAAAGCTAGTTTTTCAAAACATTGGACATGTGTTTCTACTACATGCAAAACAGTGTACTCACTCCCTGCTCCCAAAACAACTCAGTGAGAGCTTTTGTACACGGCGATGCTGAGACCCACAGAGCTAAGTGTCAGGAGTGGGGGTATTGGGCCTACATTTGTTTTGTTTTCTAATCCTATATGCTTTGTACTTGCCTGACTCATGTGCTCTCTTTGCTTTTGAAAGGACTTTCATTTCTTTTTGTAAAAATAGTACCTCAATGGTTAAAAACCCAAGCACTGTAAGCAAATACAACACAGACAAATCACCTGAAACTCCCACCCCCAATCTGATTGCCAATGCTTGGAACACATCCATGCCAGCATCTCTGCCTATGTACACAGCGTTTTTGGTGGCTGCCTCCAGGTCACTTGCTGCTCTGATTTCATAATTTTGTTGGAGAAGCTAGGCAATTAAATCTGGCTTGCTCTAGGCAATATTCTGGGTTATTACTCTCTCTTGCCAAACAAGCCAAAACAGCAGGTATAATTGACCACCAAACCATAATCTAGTCTATAACGTTGAATCTCCTGGGTTACTGGCTCCTTCGTTCCTGCCCCCACTACTTGTTTCTGGACAAAGCGTTGTAGGAAACAGGAAAGAAAACATCCTACTCAACTTCTCCAGTAGCACCCAGAGTAGGGTCCTTATCCAATCCCATCATTCAAGGCCCTGAGTGTCCGTGACCTTTCTCCACTGGTTCGCCATCTGCCACCTGACTCCCAGGGCCGGAAAGATCCCTGTATTCTAAGTTCTAAGAACTTACCCTGGGCTGGCAAGCTCATTTCCTTCCCTGAGCTTCCGATTGCAAGTGTGTTCACACCTTTCAAAACAAACCATACCCAGTGTTTTGATCAAACCCTAGAAATTTACTATTGCCAATATCTTCCTTCGTGGAAATGTACCAGCAGCTTTGAGTCCATACAGATGCCATGGCTGACTTCCCCATGGGCTCCAGCCATCACTTTCTGTTTGGCAGGCGCTGGCTGAACCAAAATTAATCTCCAATGTGATCCACGCAGTGGAAAAATACAGCGGCTGCCTAAGGGAGCTTCCAGTGAAAACAATTCACTCACTTCTCCCAGCATAAGCCACTCCACCTCCCAGCAGCCAGGGAGAGTCCCAGTAACCACCGCCTTCCCATGTATCTGATTCCCAGTCTTCAGGCCCTCCAGAAAAATGTCACTTTTGGCATGAAAGTGCTTTTCTTGGGGGGGAGGGGAGGGTGGTAACTTACGATGAAAAGAAAGATGCTTGAACTATTAAAATGTTTGATTTTCAGTGGAAGATTGAAACAGAGCCAACTCAGTCATTTAATACTGAAATGTGGTAATAACAGCTGTCAATTTCAGAGCTAGTACCATGTGCCAGCCACTGTGCTAACTGCTTTGTATATCTTCGCATTAAACCTTTAACAGTACCCATTGTATAGAGGAGGAAGCAGGCTCAGAGAGGTTTAGCGACAGCCCTCTAATTCTAGCTCAAGGTCATACAGCAAGTAAAGGACATTGTCTGTAAGAAGAATGGGGATCGAAGTCCTAGTTGAGTCCAAAAGACAGATTGAGGGAATGAGGAAAAGATGAGCTTTGTAGCCAACCAGATGTCACCATGGTCTTAACCACGTAATTTGGGGGTGGAAAGTTATTTATCCATTTGGGCCTCAGTTTTCTCATCTGTAAAACGAAGATAATAAAACCCGCTTCACTTGTGAGGAGGAGATGAGCTCATGAATGTAAGCGCCTGGCACGGAGTGGGTCCTGGGGAAACACTTAGACCCTTTTCCCGTCTCCTAATGATCTCTGGAGTTCTCGGCTCTCAGTTTTCCCAACCCTAAAATGACCAGTTTGTACTGGATCTGGTGGGTAAGGCTCCTCCCAGCTCTAATTCTAGGACATAGTGAATGTATCGATGTACACTTGATGCTTTTCTGTGGTTTCCAGGCACCTATTATCCCATTAGGAACTTCCAACCCCAAACGCCTCCACAGCATCCTCTCCTTTCCTTGGAATTTTGCAAATCATCGCTAATTTGCCTTGAACTTACAGCCTCCGGCGTCCGTTTCCCTCCCTCCCTTCTCACACCCACCGACGATGCCATCGTGGTGTGTACACCTTTAAGATTATATAAATCTGTGATCTTACAGTGGCCTCCATCCCCATGGTAACGCAGAGTTTCCCTTTTGTGAGGAAAGCTGTCATGTCACTTCCTGCTGCTGACAAATCAGTTTAGGAGATTAAGATGCAGGGGGGCCGGGTATGGGAGGCTGCCATGAAAAGTGCTGGCCGCGGTGGTTTCTGGTTGCCATACACAGAGGCAAACAAAGCCCGGGCCACGCGGGGTAGCCCCGCCCAGCGCCGGGCCGCTGGCTTTCCCACACCTCCCGGGCCGGCCGGTGCTTTCAATCACCGCAGGCTGTTTTTCTCCTCAGGTCGCTTTCTGGGGAGCAGGTGGGAGGCCTGCCCACCTCTGGGGACTTCCCTGGGCTCTACAGGGCAAGCCTGTTGGAGAACAGTCTCTGGGGACAGAGGAGCGTCTGCACCCCTGTCCTCCTAAAAACAAAGTGTGTGCATGTTGCTAGCATTCTCTGCTAAGGAAAATACCTACTGTAAAGCCACCTTTTTCTTGACTGTGGCCTTTTAAGCGCAGCAACAAATTCATTCATTGATTCAAACCTTTATTGGCTATAAGCCCAGGCATACTTTGGTACAAGACAAAGTTCCTAGTCTCAAGTAGCTAACAGTGGGGAATTAAGAACTAAGATAAGAATGAAGAGTACAAAGGTGGGAGAATGAAAGGGGGGGTTCCTTTAGATTTTGGTGGTCAGGGAGACCTCTGCTGAGGGATGGCTAAGCTAAGATCTGAATGATACAACCCAGTTGCCCATTTAAAAGGTGAGCTGTGAAGAGGGTTCCAGGTGGGGTGGGGGGGGGCAGCAAACACCTGAAGCGTGGGAGGGATCTTTGTGGACTGGTAGGTAGAGCACTTGATTTGGCATTAGCTAGACCTGAGTTCAAGTCCTGATTCTGTCGCTTATTAGCTGTGTGACTTACCGTGGGTAATTTACCGAACTCTTTAAACCTCAGTTTCCCCATCTGTAACATGGGCCAATGACCCGTGACCTTCAAAGGCTCTTTAAGGATTAAATGAAAGGAGGTCACCTCTGGACACATAAGAGAGAGGCTTGGGAATAGCTCTTTGTCCTCTTGTGACTCAGCTGGTCCCCATTCTGTCACTTGAGCAACAGCGCCCCTCCCCAGAATGTTCTGGTGAAGGGAAACGGAGAAGTGGGCAGTCTTGCCGCATCCTGACACATAACCACAGGCCTGCATTCATACTGGGCAGAGCTTTGTTTGGGGTTGGCCTTTGCTTGGAGACCACCAGCCCTGCTCCACTGACTGTGGGCAAGGTGTGTCCCTTTCTGGGCCTTGGTTTTCTCATCTGTCAGAAACACCTGAAGTGACCTTCATCTATCCTCCTTTTAGCCCAAACTGTCAACTTTAAGTCCCCACCCACCCACCCAAGCCTGGGAAGGCTCTGGAATCCCTGGGGTTCATTTGGGCTGATTCAGGGAGACAGAGGGGAAAGAAAATAGACACTTTCTGGGAAGGTGGGTTGGTGTAATGGAGATGTGACTGGTCCCTACAGAAATGGGTCCCCCACAATGTCCTGCTGGGGCATCACATACTCTTGCCCCCTAGCCCGCTCTCCAATGCAGGGCAATCCTCTGTCATGTACCACCCTGCAAAGTTCAGGTTTAAAAGCTTCATCAAAGCTGCCACCAATGGATACTTGATTCTTCATTATTTGTGTATTCATTCATGCTTTTGTTCATTCCACAAATACATACCTTTGATTTGCAGAATACTCAATATCCTCTCTCTCTCCCTCTCTCTCTTTCTCTCTCTCTCTCTCTCTCTCTCTCTCTCTCTCTCTCTCTCTCTCCTCTCCCTCCCCCACCCCCCTTCCCCAAACTTGTTACACTCTCCAGACCAGACTCACTTGGACATGTAAACCACAGCCCTCCAGGATGTGACCACTACCTTCATGTCCCCACTACAGTCCTTCATGCATGTTGAGACTTGTAGCTATCATAGCACAATATGCCTTCTTGCTACCCTTATCTCGGCAATGTAGTCCTGGGGCTTAAATAACCTCGCCCCACTCAAAATATGGCCAAATCCTTTGACCTGTAAGACTTCCTTGTCTGTGCATCAGTGTCCTAAGCACATCTGGCTACACCCCACTGCTGTAACCTGAGGGCTGGAAACCCAACCGCCTCGTGGGCCAGGCAGGTCACAGCACTGAGCACTGGGCTACTAGAGACTGTGGTGCTTGGGAAAGTTCCTGCCCTGTGCCCAGGAAAGCTGCCAGTCAAGGTGGAAATGTAGACCCAGTGTCGCCAGAACTTCCTATTTTTAAAAGAAGCCAGGAATTTGTATTTTTATGCAAAATCTACTGATTTCAGAAACTTTGCTTGGGCCAAACAAAAAAATTGCAGCCTGGCTGTGATCTAGCCCATTGGCTCTGAGTGTGCGACTGCTGCCAGCCACCTGTTTGTGAGTCTGTCAAGGTCAGGGTCTTCCCTTGTGCATCTCTGGGCCCCTGGGACTCAGCCCAGGGCTGAATGAGCACCAGACACTT